CTTTCACATTTGTGTGTCTGGTGTTTGGGCACAATATTGTCTATACCCTGGCCTGCAGTACTGTGTGCTTTACGCAGAAAGTGAATTTGTTTCTTTTCAGTTAGTGCCCAGTCAGAACAGACCAAAGAATAGTTTCTCATATCATGCACAAAAAAAATGAAAATGGATTTTGTGACACTGATTTTCATGGAAAATGGTGGTCACACAAATGGTGACAGAAAGTGTTAGTAATGCATGACAGGAAGTCTTTAACCTGTCGTTTTCCTGCTCAGGTAAAATACAAGGCTAAATTATTAGGGCATGGAACAGAAAATATATTAGCATGTTAATAGTGCAAGGTGTTGTTGTTAAAATATTGCTTTCATATTATAGATGGCTTCATTTAGAAGCATCAAGTGATGTTGATGCATCTATTAGTACTTCCTGGGATTAAGATGAATGCTGGTTGAAAACAAACAAACCAAAAAACCCATGCACGACTCATGCTAACTTTGTCAAGCTAGTTGTCAAGGTGCTGTTTGATGAACAATGCATGTCTTTTCCAGTTGAATACATTCATTACTCAGTCTACAAGACCCTGTGTTTGTGAAGTAATATAGTGGAAGTGGCAAATCCCACTGTGTTTGTACTTGTTTGAGATTTATTTGCTTTATGTTTTGTTTTTGTAAATTAAGTCTGCTTTTAGTATTTATTCTCTCACCACAAACATCCAGTCTGTCCTCCAGTATTGTGCTCATCGGCGCCCTGACTGATTGACTGGCTGGCACGTTCAAAGTGATGTTTTAACTGAATTAGATTCTCCAATCTTCTTATAAGAGAAGAAAACAACAGTATTTTATAGATAGTTGAAGTCTGTATATAGCAAAAGATGATTGCGAATCCATTCCACTTGTTTTGATGAAAGTGGTAACAGTTGCATTGAAGAGATAACAAGACAACCCTCAAAACTGCATTGGTTTTGTAGGTGGTGGCCACAGACCGTTGCCTACTCCTTATCTGTCCTGACTGTTTTTTCCCGTGTTTTGCTCTTTTACTGTTTTCGTGATTACTGGTAGCAGGTGAGAGGTTACCTGAAGCCCATTGAGGTTGCACAAATAGTTCAGCTCCTCTGGGATGACCCATGTGCATGTGCCATCAGGAGATTGTTTGCTGAGTCTTCCACCTCAAGCGGGTGGAAGAGCAGGACTGGTATCTTCTCTTTTGTCTGAGGAGGAACAGAATGACTACCAGAACCCTGCAAAGTTACCTTCCTGAAAGCTACTCATGTGCACTTTTCTGACCAAAATCTCAAGAAACACACCCATGAAGGGGATTAGAGGTCCTGATGTCCTTTAGTGGGATTGGTGCTCACTATGGACACCATGCAGCTTGATTGGCTTTCACCAGTGAACACCAGAACTGGGAGGTCCAGCACTGGTGCACATTCTCTTTACAGATGAGAGAAGTTTCACACTGAACACATGTGATGGACGTAAACGAATCTGGGGATGCTGTAACAAGCATGGCTGGTTTGACGGTGGATCAGTGATTGTGTGAGGAGGCATTCACTTGTAGGGTCAAATAGACTTCCGTGTGATAGCCAACAGTGCCCTGACTGCATTTAGGTACCAGGATAAGATCATCAGACTTATTGTCTTATATGGTTGCAGTGAGCTCTGGGTTCACCCTGAAGGACAACACTTGGGCTCATTGTCTATGAAGAACCACGAACACTACTGATCGACACTGGGATACAAGTTGAATCAGCCTGTGATTTCAGTTTTTTACTTATTAAAGTGATTTTTCAATCCTGCCATCAAACAGTTGATAATAATGGTTTCTAATGATCATATATAGCTTTGTTTTTAACAAGTTGAACAGTATGTATAAATAAAAATGTTTTACTTTAATATTTAGTTCCTCAGGATCTGATGTGTGATATTAGGATTCCCTAATCCCTGATCCTAAATTTTTGAGCAGTGTAGACAGAAACTGAGTAACCTATTTTCAGCAATGAACAGTGAAAAGGTATGGCACTGTGGTTATGTGGTTCATAAACTTTCATTCACTAGCTGGGCCCATGTCCTCATTTTAGGTATGACAGCGTTTTAGTAGGTAAAGGTGAATGCTTGGACATGAGCTGCGGTTTGGGGAAGGCCTCGAAGGGGACTGGCGACGGCTCCCGGGCCTGGCAGATCCCCATGCACTAAATAGAAGTGAAGAAGTTGAAGAATGGAGAACAAGGAGGGAGGGAGGG